AAAAAAAAAGGTGATTTGTTGCTTTTGTCCTTGGTTTTTTTTCTTTTTTTTCTTGCTCCCAACATGTCAAACGCAGACTGTTTCCTGGAATGCTTGGAATAAATTAAATCATAAATTGAGCGTATCTTGAAGCATCAGGCCCATTAGTGATAAAGACTATTAGTATTACGCACAATTTAGTTTAGACATCAAGGACACCGGTATGATTATCTTAATTGTGTTGATGGGTGCGTAAAAAAACAATCTTCATCTAAACAAATCAAAAAACAAAAAAAATATTCTCTTTACAACGCAAACGAGGAGCAAGAAAAATAAAATGCGAAACGAGACCTATTTGAACTTGACAGATTTCCTCGCCAAGGACAAAAGAATTAACTGACCTCGCTGAGCGATTAGATTAAGAGCAACCAGCCTACCTTTCTTTACGAGAGCTTTGTGTACGTAGCTTGCTCTGTGTACGTAGCTTGCTCTGTGTATGTCGCGTCCATTCAAGTGTTTCAAATCCTAGATTAGTGAACCCTGGCCACTGGGTCAATCGGCCGCTCATACAAATATTACATAGATCCACTTAGCAGAGACGAGTTTCGCAACACATCAAGGTAAATCGTCTGGTAAATCACCAGTTGAATCAAAGACTTGCCGCCCACAGGCTACGATTGCCTAATAAGTGTGACTCCAGGCTTCACTCAGGAGGAGGGGGGGGGGGGTTCTCTCTGTCTGTTGTGCAGTGTCTCCCTTTTTGTTCACCATCGTCTTATACAGGGTGCCCGCTACGGATGGGATCGGCCGATCGCCCGACTCGACCGCCTCAAAAGCAAACGTGTTTGTTTTCAGTTTCAGTTTCAGGCGATCAAGTAGGGCGATTGGCCCGATCCAGCCGTAGTGGGCACCCCGTATTAGGCGTAGCGGTTTAAACGCTTCCCTGTCGCACGCAGGAGACCCGAGTTCGATTCCCGAGTGGGAGAAATCTTATTTCATGTCGATCTTTCTGACTGATAGGATTTTCTATACCTTTGTGCTCGGATTAGAGCTGACAGGCAGTGTGGGAGGGAAGCCCGCTTTTCTAAATGACCTAAATTGCATTGTGTTGATGGGGGCGTAAAAAGACTTACATATATGAATTTTTTGTTTAAAAGATAAATGGAACGAAAGAGAGAAAGAACGAAAGAAAGAACGAACGAAAGAAAGAAAGAACGAAAGAAAGAAAGAACAAATCCATGTAGATCTAATGGTAGCATACGTTAACCACCTACGTGTTTGTGTGAATGGCCGGTTTGTAAACGGGAACAGGTGCTGGAGAATTGGGGACAACACAAAGAGGTTATACGGTACAGTTGTAAGGGACAACGTCATTGGAGCAACAGGCGCACGGGAGGCTGGGAGACAACTGCTCATACATGGACAAAAGGTGTCGGGGGAGGGGGAGGGAGGGAGAGTGAAAAAGACAGAAAGGAGAGGGGGGATCGGGAAGAGGGAGAGGGGAGGAGGAGGGGAGAGAGAGGAGGGAGGGAGGAAGAGAGAGATTGATAGGAGAGAAAGATAGCAGAGAAAGAGACACACAGAAGAGAGGAAAAGAAATATGAGAGAGAGAG